CTACACGAAGTGGATTTCCTTCATCAACTGCCCGACTCCAGCGTTCCAAACAATAGAGCAAGTTCGTCACGCGTGTCGCTATTTAACTCGCAGCTTTGCCGTACAGAATGCAATGTCAGAAAACGTAATGATAGTCAGACATCAAATAATTTAAGAGTCCAGATGAGCAGTTGGCTTTCGATAAATTCTCGTCAGGCCAAAGGTAAAATGTGTGGTAAATTATATTCGTCATTTAAACAAAGTGAGTCATGATAATACGAAGGGGGGGGGAATTGGGGGTCGATAAGAGGCGGCTAGTTACGCGATCGTGGGTGTTTGTCGAGGGCGGAACAGTGGGAGAAGGAGAGAGAGAGAGTGCATGCACTTAAGCTACCGTTGGCCATGCCAGGCGCGGAGGTTAGCAGCGGTCCTTTTGTGCACACAAGACCGGCTATCACAACCTGATAGCGGTCGCTTCTACTGTTGCTGTCAGACGCCGACCCAAGGTCTTGGGGTAGTTATTTGGAGCCTTATAAATCACACAAAAGGCATACTTCGGCTCCAGGCGTTGTCCGGAAACAACAATCGGGATGAGGATGCTCCTGAGTTCATCTTTTCTTAGCCATGCTGGGAGGTGTTCTCTTATCCTTTTGAATAAGTGCCAACTTGTGCTACCAATATAATCTGCACCACATGGGCAAGTAAAGGAGTTGATGAACATGGAAATGGTCTGAGTTGGCAATTTATCCTTACATTCCCCGTACGAGACCGGGTTGGCTGAGAATAAGACCCAAACTTTCACTTCTGAGAAGGTTCGTGACACTGCTTGGTCAAGGTGGCTTCTTAGGAGCTCTCTGGCCGCATTCCCTTGAAAGGGGACTTTGAAGAATAGCGTTTGCTTTTCCGCAGTAAGTGTGGTGGGTTTTATGTGTCTCGCAACCATATTCTTTGTAATGGAAGTCTCAAGATATTCGTTCTCATTATGCAAGTCGTGGATTTTCTTAAAAGCTTCCTCAGTACTGTCTGCCGACCACATTTTACAGCACTTTGCGCTAAGCAGCGGACTGGCCAACTCAGACTATCTCCATGTGCATTTACGCATTTACTTGCTCCTGTGGAACAGCATGTATTGGTCGAACGAGAAGAGGATTAAACTCCAACGGCCCACTTCTGTAAGGCATTGGCTGAGAAACTATCGGGTCGCACGATGAGAAAAAGGTGACGTACTGCCTCCCCCCCTCAGAAGAGGAACCTGTCAAGAACTTCCTGTTGCACGATCCCTTTGTAGATCATTAGACGAAGGAACAGAAATACGGAGAACATGACAGGTTGTTTCCCTATGCAGTCGTGATTTAGCAGTTTTCAGTGTCCCCCCACCGAATACTGAGTTCTTTAACCTACCTCATTGTCGTAAAACCTGCTGCAACCTCCAAATAAAATATTACTTCTGGGTGTTTATCAAAAAAACATAAATAACTGGTGTGCCGTTTCGCCCAGTCTGCCTCAGCTAGGGAGTGCTATGAGCACAGGTCCCAATACGCCACCCTTTCTGCCGTTTATGATTGGTGTGTCGGACACTGAGATGACCAATGGCTTAGCTCATGACCAGCTTTCCTTACTAATGGCACAATGAAGGCACCCTTTGCCCCCCCTTTTTAAAATCACGCTTGACAGGCTTTCACTGTAACGTTAACTGCCTTACTTCGATAACTGTCTTCCCTTCCTCTCCCTCCTCACCGTGCGTATCCGCATCTAAGACCAATAGTTAATGCTCTGCGTGCCTATCATGTTCCAGCCTTTCAGGTCGATACTTAATTGGACAGTCAATGGCCGTATGCAATTGAATAATAGGTCACGAAAATGTATGACGTCATTAAATCCTGTGAATATCGCTGCCCTTATCTGAAATATGCTTGTTCGCAGGACATACCACAGACGGTCTCCCATTGGCTGACATACAACATATGAAGAACAGGTGGAAAAAGCATGCAATTACGAAACGATCAGTCCTATATATGCACACCTTTTACTGTAACCGGAAGTAAAAAGTGACATTCTTCCTTTCAGCAGTTCTCATTTTTCGACTGCGTGATTGATGACCACGGGGGTGGAGGCCGACACTTCAAGGCCTTACTCCTAATCGACAATCATAAAAAGTTTAATTAGCTCTGTTGAATGCGTAAGCGGGGGCGTACCTGTTTGTTCGTAGTATGCTCGGGCATGAGAAATGGAATTTCATGTACATGTACATATACCGACCTTGTGCGACTCCACTGACCTGTGAGCTGCCCAGAACGGAATGTCCCAAGACCCGGGTCCAAGGCTGATCGTGCTAGGACATGTCGAAATGCCCTTAGGACTGTGCGTGCTCCTTCTAAAGG